GAATTTAAAAAAAAAAAACGCCAAACCCATTGCAATCAAGTCAATTCCCACTTACAGTGACCCTGCCTTATCAGTTAAGCACTCAACTGCTAACCAGAAGTTTGGCAGTTCAAACCCACCAGCTGCTCTATAGGAGAAAGATGTGGCAGTCTGCTTCTGTAAATATTTAGAGCCTTGGAAACCTTATGGAGTAGAGGGCTTCTACTCTGTCCTGCAGGCTTGCTCTCAGTTCGATGGCAGTGGGAAATTTATTGTGTATAGCATAGCCCCCTCTTTTCTACACCTTACCTGCCTTGCCTTTTCTCTCATTTATCAAAGTGGGTCTGTTTATCAGCTGTATCTCTATTATTCCTACTTGAATAACAAAAAACCTATGTATTTGATAAGTTACAGAATATCTTATCTGTTGGCTTTTTATTCCTCCATATCAATTTTAGCATTAATGTGTCAAGGTCCATTGAAAACGCTGTTGGGCATCAGAGATGCATTTAGTGCTATTTAGAAAATATTAGCATCTTTACCATAGTGCATTTTTTCCTCTGTTAATTTTTCTTTAATGCCTTTCAGTGAAGTGTTACAATTTTCACTACACAGTTTTATGTACAACTTTTGTTAGATTTATTCTTAAAAACCCACTGCCATCGAGTCAGATCTGACTCATAATGACCCCTCCTTGGGTTTCTGATGCAATATCACTACAGAGGTAGATTTTATAATTGTGTTTATTTTGAATGCTTTTGATTTCTAATTATTTACTGCTACTATATAAAAATGCATTTGACTTTGGCATAATAGTCTTTGGCTCTGGTTTTAGTTGTTTCTATGTATTTTTATTTATTTGTCATTGTTGTGGTTTCTGTGTAGAATAAACAGTTGTCATCTGTAGAAAATAATTTTCTTTCCTATTTTCCAATTTCCATGCCTTTTTTCCTCCATGTTTTATTGTGCTTGTTAACCTCAGTATAATATTGAAACCTATCAATATGGTAAATTATAAATTTTCTAATATTAAACTCTCTTTCCTTTCCTGGAATAAACCTAGCTGGGTCATAATTATTGTTGTTATGTGCCGTCAAGTCGGACCCGACTCATAGCGACCCCTCATTGGGTTTCCAAGGCAGTATCACTGCGGAAGTAGATTGCCCCATCTTCCTTCTGAGGAGTGGCTGGTGGGTTTGAACCACCAGCCTTCTGGTTAGCAGTCAAGTGCCTTAGGCACTACGCTACCAGTTGTTGTTGTTGTTGTTGTTGTTGTTAAGTGCCATCGAGTCATTTCCGACTCATAGCAACCCCATGCACAGCAGAACGAAACACTGCCCGATCCCGCGCCAGCCCCACAATCCCTGCTATACTCGAGCCCATCATCACAGCCACCGTATCAATCCATCTCGTTGTAGGCCTCCCCCTCTTTCGTCGACCCTCCACCCTACCAAGCATGACATCCTTCTCCAGGGAATGGTCCCTTCTTACAACATGACCAAAATAGGTGAGACGAAGTCTGGCCATTCTTGCTTCCAAGGAGCATTCTGGCTGCACTTCCTCCAGGACAGATCTGTTAGTTCTTTCAGCAGTCCATGGTACCATCTTGTATTCATTCTTAGACTTTATTGCTAATAATTTATGAGGATTTATACATCTCATTTAATGGATGACATAGGCCCAGAATTTTCCACTCTCATGCTGGCCTTGAGAATCAAGATTTCATTTGCATCATAGAATGAGCTGGGCATAGTCCTAATTTTCTTGTTCTCTGAGTTGTACAATACTGGCAAAGTCTTCGGCAATTCTTTGAAGTCAGTTAAAAACCTGTTGCCTGTGATGTTTTCTTTGTGCTGAGGTTTAAGTTCTTACTTTCCTATTTCGAGTCAGTTTTGATTAATAATACTGTTTTTCTAGGAATTTGTCCATTTTCTTCAAGTGTTCAAATATGTTGTTGGCAATACTCATATCTCCCCTACATCTGTAGTTATGTCCCTGTGTTTAGTCCTTGTATTATTTCTTTAAGCTTCCTTCTAAAGTTTTCTTGATTAATCTTGCCAAAGAGTTATTTGTCTTTTAATCTTTTCAAAGAATGACTTTTGTCTTTATTCCTCTTCTCTGTTGAATCTTTGTTTTCTACTTCATTGATTCCAACTGTTATCTTTTGTTCTTTTTAAAAAAAAAAAATCTCTGGTATCTTTTGTTCTCTGATGTGTTCGATTGGTTTCATGTTGTCTCACTTCAGGTATTTTATGGCTGCCTCTCAAAGCCCTGCCTTTGCTGCATCACACCAGTTTTAATGCATTTACTATTTTTGTTACCGTTCATTTATAAGTTGTTTTTAATTTAAAAGAATGAATTCCCTCCTGCAGCTCATGATTTTTCCTCACTTGGGTCTGGTCAGAGAAAATGATCTGTATCGGGAAGGGCCGTTCTTTTCTGTAGAGGACAGTTTGAAGTCAGCGTTGAGCCTTTGCAGGCCGGGCCCTCTCGGCTGCACCTTCCCAGCTGGGTGTGTTCCGTGTGTACTGGAGCAGAACGTGCTCCTTCTCCGACTCCGCGAGCCTTGCTCCGGGCGCGTCCGCCAGGTCGCGTCTCCTCAGAGCTGGGTTGGCGTCACCTGAGCCTGCAGATCTTTGCCTTCCTGCCTCATCAGTGATTGTGCATTCGGATCTCTCCTGTGAGGATGGCTTCATACCTCTCTGACTCTCTTTCCCTAATCTGAAAGTCTATTGTCTGTGATAATAGTAAAACCATACTAGCTTTCTTTCATGGAGTATTTGCTAGCATATCTTTTTCCAGGCTTCTATTTTCAGCCTTTCTTGTCCGTATATAAGTGTTTCTTGGTGACATCATTTTTTTTAAGCGTTTGTTTTACATTCAACATTACGTGTACATTTAGTTGCACTCCCCATTCACCATCGCCAGCCCGAACCCAGCCTCCTCCCCTCCCTGCCCAGTAGCCCTCCCCCTGTGCCCCTCACGTTCATGCTCCTGTGTGTCCTGCATTTCCTCCGTGTGAAGGTTGCCCCTCTGATGCCCCGTGGTCTATTGCTCTGAGGGAGGTATTTCCATAGAGTGTGTAGATGCGTCATCCTGGGTTGAGTGGTCTGCGGGTACATCTTGTTAACTATTGGGCTGAGAGCCAGCCCCTGGGAGTGAGTTTTATTCCAGGCACAGAACGTATTCCAGGACCACAGTATTGGGGTTCTCATCAGACTCCATCCGACCAGTAATTCTGGTCATTATTGAGTGTTTGGATTTGTTTCACGTTTCCCCCCCACTCTCTCCAGGATGTCCAGATTCGACCCTTTCCCAAGTGGTGGGCATTGGTAGCCGGGCACCATCTAGTTCTCGTCTTGAGGGCCATCATGTAATAGGGCTGATTGCTTCCAAATGCCCTTGTTTTTTTGTAGCCCCCCCCATACATAAAAACATTGCTTTATTGTAAATCTTGGTCCCTTTTCCTTTGTAGGTGATATGCTCTTTAGAAACTTGTAGACATTTTTCTTTCTTTCATTTCCTCAAATTCTGCATATTTTATTCTGATGTATTTAGATGTTAAGTCTTTTCATACCTTACTTGATTAGTACTCTATAAGAACTTTCAATCTAAAGCCATTCACTTTTCTTTAATTATATGAAATTTAACTAAATTAGGAAGCTCTGGTGGTACTGTGGTTAATACATTTGGCTGCTAACAAAATGTCAGTGGTTTGAACCCACCGGCCACTCTGTGGGAGAAAAATGAGACAGTCTGCTTCTGTAAAGATTTATAACCGTGGAAACCTTATGCAGTCACTGTGAGTCAGAATCGCCCTGACGGCGGTGGGTTTTTACCTATATTATTTGTTCAGTGGTGTCCTCTCCCAGGGACTCTGTTGTGCATGGCGGGCACGTGCTGCCCTCTCTCTCCTTCCCTGTCCTCCCCTCTGCCCTATGCTGCGGCAGCTGCCCCTCTCCCTGGTTCTCCCGGGGGACTCTGTTGTGCATGGCGGGCACATCTGCTGCCCTCCATTTCCTTCCTGTCCTTCCTCTCCGCCCTCCGCCGCGGCAGCTGCCCCTCTCCCTGCTTCTCCTCTCATGGGTTTTCAGCAGCGTTCGTTCTCCTGCTCATCGCCTCTCCTGTGTCTCTTACATCAACTACTTTATTTCTCAAACCTAATATCTACATTTGGTTCTTTTTCTATGCTTTCTAGTCTTGTTATAAGTATATCCATCACACTTCTTTTAAATTCTTGAGCCTTCTCTTCCAACGCCTCTGTTTGGGGAGGTAAAGATTGTTTATTTACCTCCCAAAACAGCCTGTTGGTGGTTTCCTTTGAGGTCTGCTCTTTTGGCCAGAGTAGTGACGTCCAGTCTGCCTGGCAGTGCATGTGGCAGAAGGCCCAAGGCAGACCTGGTGCCAGTGTGCCCCGGTGTGGAGGAGGCACGGGCAAGGGCCAAGGGCATAGCGCCCCAGGGCTGTAAAACTAAAGCCAGTCTCTGCCCCCGAGGCACCTCCTCAGCTCTGGGCTTGACCCCCAGCACCTAGAGAGCAGCAGCGTGAGGGGGCAGCCCCTCCGAGCTGACCTTCCTTCTGTCCTTCAGCCACCGTTCCACTCCTTCCTCCTTGGAAAGCCAAGCAGCTGTGGCTGCTGACCAGGGCAGGGAGAAGGGCACCAGAAACTGAGCCAAAGACTTAGAGGAGACGAAGGAGAAGAAGTCCCTCCGGTTTTCTCTAGTTAATGCTTGCATTGTGCCACCCCATGCACACATACTGCACCAGCCCAGGCCTCGCCCCATCCCCCACAGGCAGCAGCCCAGCCCCTCCCATCCATGTCTGTGCGCTCCAGCCTCACATCCGTGCCACGAATACGCCATGCTCGGCTCCTCCAGCATTTCGTGGGGTGCAGAGGCATTGTTTGCCTCCGTCTGTGGCTTCTCCAGAGATTGGCCGGGGGTCAGACGAGTAGACACAAGTCCCCCCCGGGTGTATCTCGCCACCGTCCCCTGGGCTCAGGTGTTGCTCCTCGTCGACAGGGTCTGCGCAAGAGGGAGCTCCTGAAGGAGCTGCTGCCGGTCATCGGGCAGAACCTGCGCTTCCAGCGGCTCTTCACCGAGTGCCAGGAGCAGCTCGACCTCCTGAGGGACAAGTAGCCTGCCTCGGTCTGCCCCAGCTGCCGCGAAGGCCCGACCGCAGGCTGGCCGCCGACTGCACCCAGGGCCGCCCCTCATCTGCTCCGGCTACGGGAGGAGCAGGAGACACTGGCAGGAGGTGGGAGGCCCTGCACCAGCGCTGGCCCGGCCTCCCGGGCTCACATCCCCCGTGTCCCGGGCCGTGTGCTCCCTCACCAGGAGGCTACTCTGCCTGCAACCCGGCACTCTCTCCAGGACCCCTGTGCGGAGCTGGGGCCAGGGTTCTGTCCTGCTGCCTTGGGATCAGGGTGGCGTTCCCAAGCCTGCCGTCTCTAGCACGGCCCCGAGGTGGACACTAGCTCCTGCCACTGCAGGCACTGTGCTGCTTCAGCTATGATGAATGAGCCATTTGTGACAGAGGGAACCCTGAAACATTAATGTATCAGGCAGTCAGTAGACTGAGCTGAGTGAGACCTATGTAAAAGGAAAGACTGTTCCAACACATGGACTATTTTTGTACTAGAATTTGCTAACTTGTAATATGGAATTTTCCTTTTGGCCAATAATCAGGGTTTCCCTATAAGTCACTTGGACATTGGTCACTTATAGGAAATTTAAACTCTAATTATGACAGCTACATTGAAAAATAATTGTACTGAAATTAACTTGTCTATCTTCATTTGGTTTTAATTTTTAAATGTTTGTAAAAAGAGAATGGTTTTGGGGGATGGGGCAGAGGGGTGGGGCGATTTCTTTTGTAAGTGTAAAATAAATGAACACGCATTGGATACCAAACATTCCGGCTCCCCTGCCTTTTCCTTGTGCCTTCCTTCCCACAGTCTTCCCTCCACCACAGATCCCCATCTCCTGAAGCAGGCAGCAATGGAACATTGGCACTGGAAGGCATCTTTGATGCTGTCTAGTCCCCATGGCCTCTCCATGCAAAATATAGTTTGCAGTGTGGAAGTCACTGGCATGGTGGTGCAGAACATCAGGTTGAGCTGGGCTGGCAGGCATACCCCTCACATGTGTCATCACGTGTGATCATGCGTGTGATGGTCCCTGATCATGCAGCCTACTCAGCCCACACTGGTGCCTTTTGAGTGGTTTCCCGGGTGGGGCTGTTTGGCCACTGTCCCATAAGGACATCAGTTGCATACACACTTGGAATCAACAAGCACCTTGTGGACTGAGCTTATGCCCCCACTGATCCTAGAACCTCATCGTGGCCTCCCTGTCCGCTGTGTGGGATCTTGAGTCTGGGGAAGGGCTCTGCCTTGGAATCAGAAGGCCTAAATGACTGGCCACTGATAACCCTCTCTGATAGCTTCCCTACCTAGTGACCATCCACTGTATGTCTCACTAGGATGTGGAGTGGCTGGATTCAATGTGGGTGCACACGTTCCCCAACCGCCCTGCCATACAAAGCCAGTACACAGAGTGCACGTGGGCACAGACACCTCAAACAACAGGCCACGAGTGTGAACTTCTCTTTAAGAAGAGAGGAGCCAGTTACATTCACACAATGGAATACTATGCAACGCTAAAGAATAATGTAGAATCTGCAGAACACCGCATAACGTGGATGAACTTGGAGGACATTATGCTGAGCGAAATAAGTCAGTCACAAAAGGACAAATATTGTATTAGTCCGTTATTGTAAAAGTTAAGGAAATGTTTATATATTGGAGGACATTTTCTTTGTTGGTTACCAGGGGTGGGAGGGAAGGGGAGGGAATGCTGTTAGATAGATAGAGATAAATATTGATTTGGGTGAAGAGAAGGGCAATGTACCAAATGTGAGTGACCAATATGGCAGCATTGAGGATGAGAAAGACAGAGAGAGTTACATGGGCAGTACAAACAACAAATATGAACCCCTTTGTAAATACAATACTGAGTTGTTAATGAAAGCAAATATGGGTATAGGGACGGATAGATGGGTGAACAAGCTAAACAATTATGTATGTCTAAATGGAGAGTGTATCCAAGATCATATACAGGGTTGGCAGAAAATGGGCCTCTCGAAGAGTATGAAGGGATGGACACTGGGAGGAGGTAACTATGGGGAGGAAGTGGGAGGGGAGCTGCTGCATTGTAAATTTTGGTCAATGACATGAGACAAAGTATATGTGAACTGCTGTATGAAAAGTGAATTTACTCTGTAAATCTTCACCCAAATCCTAATAAAAAAAAAAAAGAGAGAGGAGCCAGTGACTCTCCATGCAGGTCAGGAAGTTCCCCTGGGAATTCTACAGCAAGGCCTTGAAAACTGTAAATCCACAGGATGCACATAGCCTTGGGAGCAATGAGTTTGTCTGAGGTCCAAACCAGCAAACAACTGGACCTCAGTTTGTTCAGCTGCCAAATGGAGATGGGTAAGAAAATCTCCATCTGGTTGTAAGGACTAGAATCATATAGACAAAGCCCTAGTACTGCGAAAATTCTCCCTTCAGGGAAACTTGGACAGTCATGAGTGTTTTTACAACTACTCTTTGAAAAAGTGGGGAAGAGGACAAGCAGAATTATTTGGGACTTCACCTTCTACCAAGATGGTATAACAGGAACCAGATTTAGAACAATGTTTTCAAGATGCTGGATATCAGACAACAAGGGAAAATAATGAGAAACAGACAAGGTGAACCCTGCAAGTGCCCTAGCTTCCTACTTGGACAAAGAGGGGAGCTGAGGAAGGAGCCCAGTGTAGTACTGGAAGAAATGGAGCTGAGAGTCTAGAAAAACCAAGACAAGTAGAGTTCATAAGACAGGACACCAGAGAGAAGAAGGCTCCGTAGAGATCTGCAGAGGGCCTCCCTCAAGCATTTAGCTAAGTACTGATCGATGCTTGTGCTGAGGAAAGTACCACATGGGTAAACTGCCAAGGCCAGTCAAAGAACCTTCTAAAAGGATTAGGGGGGATACACCTAGCACTCGAGACTGGGAAGAGTACCTGTTTGTACAAACCAGAAGTCTTGTAACTCACAGGGCTTTGAGTAGATTACTCAGGGAGCCTTGCTTTCGTATTGGGATATAATTAGAGTACTGCTTCAGATCCATCTAACAAATCCAAAAGGATCAGACTATTTCCAAGTAACTTACTGCATTGTAAAACAAAGTTCAAGAAGTTTAATAAGAATACAGAAATATGCAACATCCAGCAAAGTAAAGGAATCACCGTTATGTTATGTTGTTAGGTGTCGTCGAGTCGGACCCGACTCATAGTGACCCCTCCTTGGGTTTCCTAGGCAGTATCACTACAGAAGTAGATTGCCTCATCTTCCTTCCGAGGAGTGGCTGGTGAGTTTGAACCGCCAGCCTTCTGGTTAGCAGTCAAGTGCTTTAGGCACTATACTACCAGAGCTCCTGAGGAATCACTAGGTGGTGCAATTGGTTAATGAGCTCAGCTGCTAATTGCAAGATTGGGAATTTGAATCCACCAAGAGATGCCTCAAAAGAAAGTCCTGACAATCTACTGAGAAAGCCATTGAAAACCTTGTGAATCACAGTTCTTTTCCGCAACACAGAGGGTAACCATGAGTCTGAATCAGCTTTGAAGGCAACTGGGTTTTTGTGTGTTTGTTTTTTTCACAAAGTAAAGCCTACAATATTTAGCATCCAAACAAAGATTTCAGACATACAAAGATGCAGGAATACAATCCAAAATGAGAAAAAACTGACATAGATGTTCCAGAAGACAAGGATGTTAGTTATAATCCCATTCTTAGGTTCACAAAGTTAGGTAGAAAGAGAAGACGTTAAAAAAAAAACATTAATTGAACTCCTAGAGGTGAAAACTGCAACGTGTGAGATAAAGAATGAGTGGGAAAGGATTAACAGCAGATTAGATGTTGCAGAAGAAACAATTAATGAATACTTAACATGAAAGCATAGCAATAGAAATGATCAAAAACAAAAATCTAAAGGAAAGGAAAGAAAATAGCATCAGTTAAACTGTGAGACAACTTCAAGTGGCCTAATAACAGGTAATTTTTTTTTTTTTTTTTTTGGTTTTGGAAGTCCCCAAAGGGGAGAAGGGAGTGTGACAAAGGTTTTTGTTTTTTTTTTTTTAAGAAATAATGCCCCAGAACTTTGCCTGCTCCTGCTTACCACCACTCATCTGTCAGTTTTCTAATGAATAGCAGTAAAACACTGATAATATTACTGGAAAGCTTCATGAAGAGCCATGAAGCAATGTCTGATAGAGTGCTGGAGAATGAGCCCTTCTAGTTGGAAGGCATTGAAAATACAACTGGGGAAGAGTTGCCACCTGAAAGTAGAGCATACCTTAATAATGTGACTGGAGTGAAGCTTTTGGAACCTTCATCTGCTGATGGGATATGACTCACAATGGGAAGAAACAGCTGCAAGCCTTCATTAATAATCGGAACATGGAATGTACAAAGTCTGAAAATTGGAAGTTGTCAAAAGTGAAATGGAACACATAAAGATCGATATCCTAGGCATTACTGAGCTGAAATGGAATGGTATTTGCCGTTTTGAATCAGACAATCATATGATGTACTGTGCTGGGAATGACAAAGAGGAACGGCATCACATTCATCATCAAAAAGAATTATTACAAGATCTATCCTGAAGTACGGTGCTGTCAATGATAGGATAATATCCATACATCTATAAGGAAGACCAGTTAGTACTATTATTCAAATTTATGAACCAACCACCAAAGCAAAAGATGAAGATTATTTTTTAAAAACCAACTTTTGTAGTCTAAAATTGACCAAACATGCAATCAAGATGTATTGATTATTGCTGGTGATTGGAATGCAGAGAAAATATGGCCTTGGTGATAACAAATGATGCTGGAGATCAGATGACAGAATTTTGCAAGACCAATGACTTAACTCATTGCAAATACCTTTTTCAACAACATAAATGGCAGCTATACACGAGAACGTTGCCAGAGGGGAATACACAATACATAATCAACTACACCTGTGAAAAGAGATGATGGAGAAGCTCAATACCATCACTCAAAACAAGGTCAAGACCTGACTGGAACATACCATCAATTGCTTATATGCAAGTTGAAGCTGAAGAAAATTAAATGAAGTCCATGAGAGCCAAAATATGACCTTGAATATATTGCACCTGAATTTAGAGACCAATCTGAAGCAGATTTGACACATTGAACACCAGTGACCGAAGACCAGATGAGTTGTGGGATAGCATCAAGAACATCATACATGAAGAAGGCTAAAGGTCATTAAAAAGACAAGAAAGTGAGTTCCGGTAAGATGGTGGAATAGGCAGAAAGACTGCACAGACCCTCTTGAACAAAGAAAACGGGAACCAATTAACACAGATAGAAAAGATAATCCTTGACCCCTGAACCTTGAAAGGAAGGATATAGAAATGGACTAAACAATGCAGAAAAATTTGCATGAAAACACCAAACAAGGAGGAATACAGAGCTGCGGTCTGGCAGCGACCCTGACGCCACAGACAGCTTGGCTATTGCCAAGTGGTGGTGGTGGTGGTTGTTGTTGTTGTTTGCCGTTGAGTCGGCCCCGACTCATAGCAACCCCTCCTTGGGTTTCCGAGGCAGTATCACTACGGAAGTAGGATTGCCCA